ATGGCGAACTGCGAGGGACACTGCCGTCAGGTATGAACACCTTCACTGCAGGGAATAGTTCTGCATCGATGAATCAGACGTACAGGTCCCGAAGTCACCTGGAGGACAGATACTTGATTCACGCCGCTGCTGGAAAAAGGAGTGATGCCTGCAACTGATTTATTTAAAACGACCGAATGGCGAACAGGCTAACAAGTAAGAAGGGACAATATCCCGAACCGAACCGCCGTTTTCTATATTTAAGGCATTTTCTTGAACACCTTCACTGCATTTGAGATGTTTCAGATTATTTCAAATGTAAAAGTTTTGCATCTTTTAATTTGAAATATTGAATCAAACGTAACAGGTCCCCGAAGTCACCTGGAGGACAGATGCTTTTTTCTCTTGGTGGCTAGCTGCCCTCACGCCTCATCTCTCTTATTATGTATTTGGTCGTGCACATGTTTAATGCTATGCACTTGAACTAGATAATGCACTTGTTAGTTGTGAACTTGTTATGTATTTGGTTGTGCACTTGTTTAATGCTATGCACTGTGAGTCGGTATTTCGTATTAAATTTTCGTATACCGACCGTGTTCGACATAATTCCGCTCTAATTGGTTCGTTTCCGAAATTCTAGATATTCCGTAAGTTCGTGTTCATTTTCGGCATCGCTTCCGCTTGATCAAGTTCAAATATAAAAGTAGAAAACGGTTAAGGAGTTTTTCGACCGAGTTCGACCATTTTCATCCTTAACTACAAGGCGTCCGGTGCTGCACCGACGCCTCAACAACACCTGATCTACTCTCACTCCCACCCAGAAATGCGGGAATTGGATTGTTTATTATCAATACCCAGGTTTACACGGCGCAAACCATCTATATCAAGGACAAGATGACAGGAACTACATAAGTGCTGATGGCTGAGGCCACGGCAATGGCACTTGCTGCAATTGTCACTCACCGCCTTAACCTGCAGCAAACTAACTTCTTATCAGACAATCAACAGCTTGTGCATTTCCTAAATGCCTCGGACCAAGCAAATCCACCGGATTGGAGGATCAAACACTTCACTCAGGTGTTCACTAACTACACAAGTCAAGGGGGCACAAGAATTCTCAGAATACACAGAACCAGACGGCGGACATTCTAGCTAGACAGGCTCTTCTAGACTCTCAGCCAGCTTCTCTTAGCTTGGCTTGTTCTTGCTCTAATGCAGCACATGTATCTCAGTGTCCTTTGCAGGATGCACTGCTTTCAGTACCATGGACCTCTGTAACGCTCTTAACAGCTGTTTGCTGTTGAAATGAAAGCTATTTGTTGTAAAAAAAAACATTGTGACACGGCACTTTTTTTTTTTGAGGGGATTGTGACACGGCACCTAGAAGTTGAGCCAAACGTTAACTTACTTTGGCCCAAAACCTTGATTTAGCTCGACAGCCCAAATTTCAGCGAGGTAGCAATTTGCTGCCGAAAATAAATGAAAAATAAATAAGCATCAGGCCGACACAACTCAATCTCCACCCAAGTTACGCTTTTTTGGGCCCATCTCGGCCCTTAAACGCGGGCCGTGCGGAAGCGGCCACCGAAATGGCCTTCTTCGTGTTTGGGCTTAGAAATGGTGTGAAATGAGCCCTATAAATTTTTGCTTGAACAGTGATGCAAGGGTGTAAGGATCTATTTAGATGCACATGCCTAATTATTAGTTTAGGCTAAAAATTAGTTAATTAGTTGTGTTTAGCTGGCTAGTTGGCGAACACCTAGTCGAAGAATTGGCTAAAAAATTAGTCCAGCTATTAACTCTCCTGTTTGGATGCATTAGACCTAATTTTAACTAAGTTTTAGTTAGCTAGCAATTCCCTTTTGTATCAAACCGGCCATAAGTCTAGTTTACTAGTTGCTTATAAGTTGGAGGATTGTGGAGGATACTCAAAATCGCCATACTCCATTAGTCCATTCGAGCATTTTTCTAGCTCGCTCACACCCAAATTTCTACGTTGCTCAGTCGTGTAGCAAACTTGCAATGTGCTCGATTTCATTCGAGGTTGCCCATTAGGCTAGGCTTACCTTAAAAGTAACTGAGCATTATATTTTTCAAAATAGGTACATATTGGCGTGTCAGCGGCGAAAGGGCCTGTAGCCCAATGGTTATAAGACCCTCAGTAGCACCTCGATTTTAGGTATGACTCTCCGTGAGAGCGAACCTTGCAGAATTTAACGACATTGTGCTTTCAATGGTAGGCGATATTCACGTCGATAGTGAGGCGCCTTTGGTGACTTCATCATTCTCGAGGATTTGTCGTCCCAATCTTCGAAGATGCTCATAAAGGTAGGATTTACATATGTACATTCGTAAAGATGTGATTGTGCGTACGTTATGAGTGCGTTGTAATAAAAAAATACATTGGCGTATCAGTGTCCTCGGTTTATCCTACGGTGAACGGTACGGCGTGTGTTGTCGTTGTGATTGTGTTATTACTATGCTTGACATTTTCCTCGTTATATATTACTCCCTTCATCCCAAATTATAAATCATTTAAATTTTCTTAGAGTCAAAGCATCACAAGTTTGACCAAAATTATAGAGAAGATTACAAAATTTATGACATCACGTAGGAATACTATGAAAATATAATTAATGAAAAATATAACGATACTTATTTTGGTATCATAAATATTATTATTTTATTATATACATTTAGTCAAATTTTAAATGTTTTGACTCTCTAAGAAAGATGGAATGACTTATAATTTGTGACAGATGAAGTATATTATTTTCGATTTAAGTAAAATTCACTAGGGGTACTTAAACTTGTCTTATGTTCTCAAATAGTCCGTGTACTCTGAAGACCGGATTTTTGGGTCCCTACACTTATTAAATGTCGGTCCAAACCGCTTTTGGAATACCAGTTTTGCACACGTGGCCACCACCATGTCTACTCAGGCCTCGTTCGCTGGGAGGAATTTGTGAGAGAAAAATATTTCGGATAAAAAAAAAGCGGAAGCGGATGACACGCGAACGGGCCTCAGTCCAAAACAGATGCTGGCAGAGCCCCTCCATGGCGGGACAGCTCAATGTCTGTTAGCGCCACCTGCATCTCTAGGACCGTGCGACTGGCAGCCAGCGGGTCCTCGGGCCCACCGACCTCGATGATTGCGCATAAGTGTGGGCCCATGGCAGACAACACCGAGGTTTTAAATATCCGGTTATAGCCTTCGCTATCTCCGATTTAACGAGAATTTAACTAAGTTTTATCATAGCTGCACGCAGAAAGCTAAATAGCTTAGCCGGCCTTACAACACCATGGCATGCGCGGAGAAGACGTGGTCCAGGAGCAACGCGGGGTGCGGGATCTCCGCAATGGCCGCCGGGCTCAGCGCTACTGCACTGCGCCGCGCCGGTTGAGGCGAAACTCGCAGACCCCCGTGGAATGCTCTGGCCGCATCACGGCGAGGGTCTCAAATCCCGCGTGGAGCTCCGCCTCGGACGCCCCCGCGTCAGATGCTTCACGTCGCTGTCGGCGGCCATCTATGGGTTCACCGCCGTCTGCCTCCTGTGCCGCGCCGCTACACCTACCAGCATCAGCTCGAACCAGCGCTGCCATCGCCAATAGCCGGCGCAGCGTTGCTCGCCGATGGATCGAGTAGATGAAGAGGGCTGCGCTCCTCGCTGCTTTGCGCGCTTCTCGGCATGGCCGTCCTGATCTCCATCTCCGCCGCGCGCGTATCTCGCCTGCACGACCAGCGCCTCCTGGCGGTGTTGTCTCCCTCTGATCTGTCCTCCTCCTCCCTGAAGTACTTCTCGTGGCTGTGGTGGAGCAGCAGCACTTCACGTGGCCGTGGTCGAGGAAGACTTCCTGGGATGGAGCAGCAGGTTGCCTCCTTCGGTGCGTCGCTTCGCCGGCATCGCTTGACACAGACCTCCGTTGGCTCTTATCCTCGTGGTGCAGTACGACGGCGCAGCTAGCCGGAGTCCGAGACATCGAGGGCTGCTTCTGCCTCCAGGTAGACACGGGGTGGCCGGAGCCTACACCCGGCGGCGCATCCCCGTCCGCGTCGCTCGTCCCGCTTCAGCAGTCCGGCACGAGTGACTTGCCGGACGTCCCTGGCGCTGCCTGCTCTTTGGTGTTCGAGTAGCTGATGCCATACGTGGCACCCCGCTCGTCGAGACGCCGAAGCTGTCGCCGCCTTGATGCAGCGCGCGCCACCTACCAAAATGGCGTTCTTCCCTTCAGAGCCTCCTGCTTGGGTGCGCGGTGCGCCAACGGCTGCTGCGTTGATGGACAGACCTGTGCCCCCTCTCTCCACCGCCGCTTGTTCGTCCCAACATGCGCCGGCGTTAGGTGCAGGCGGCGGGAGCATCACGGACCTCGAGCTACTCCTCCCATATGGTTCGGAGGCCACCAGCTCGGCGTTCATGGGCGCGCTAAGAAGTGCCCCCTTGCGAGCGCAGTTGGCGAGCAGCAGCAGTAGCTTACTAGCTTCTACGGCGCCACGTGGACTAAGTAGACATGGTGGCAGCCACATATGCGAAACTGGTATTCTAAGACCGGTTTGGAGCTTTAGTGATACATTTAGGGCACGTTCGTTTTGCGGGAATGGAGTGCCGGAACTGATACGGGCCAAAATGTAGCTGTATTTTATACGGCCAACCGTCACTGGGAAGCTTTCCGGCCAGAAACGAGACTAACGAACGGCCCTTAGGAGTTTAGGAACCTGAAAATCAGGTTTTCATAGTACACGGACCTATTTGAGAACACGGAACAAGTTTAAAGACTTCTAGTGGATTTCACTCTTTCGATTTTGATGTTTCTATATTTTATACAAGGTAATTCTTTTTGAAAATTGATTTAGCAATTCCATTCTAAAAAAATAGTCGGAAAAAGGAAACAAAGACGATTGGGCTAGGCCCAACCTTCTTTTACTCGTTTCTTTGCACCGCTCAAATACAAACTACCCGCGACGGTTCAAAACCAGATTCCGACCGAAACCCCAAATCCCCTTGGCGGCGAGCTGACCGGCGATGCGTCCGCCGGGGCCGACGGTCCCCTCTGCCGCTTCCTCGTCCTCCTACAGCCAGCGCGAGCCCCGCCCGGAGAACCCTCTCCTCCTCCTCCCCTCCTCTCGCGTCACCAAGCTCTCGCTCGGTTGTCCCCTCCTCGACCGCCTCCTCTCCGGCGGCCTCCCCGCCGCCTCCGTTACCGAGATAGCCGGCGAGTCCGCCACTGGCAAGACCCAGCTCTGCCTCCAGCTCGCCCTCCTCGCGCCCCAGTCCCCGCTCTCCGCCTCCTCCCTCTTCCTCTACTCCGACCTCCCATTCCCCCTCCACCGCCTCCGCCGCCTCGCCCCCAAATCCCGCCCCGATATCCTCGACCACGTCCTCGTCGCCGCCGCGCACTCCCCCACCGACCTCCTCTCCCTCCTCGCCCGCGCCCAGCGCCTGCTCGCCAACCCTGGCCGCTCCCCGCACCGCCTCCCCATCCGCCTCATCCTCCTCGACTCCGTCGCCTCCCTCTTCCGCGCCGACTTCGACGCATCCCCCGCCGACCTCAGGCGCCGCTCCGCTCTCTTCTTCCAGATCTCGGCGAAGCTCAAGGAGCTGGCGTACAGGCACCAGTGCGTGGTGGTGGTGACCAACCAGGTGATGGACGTGGTGGAGGGGGACGCCGGGAACACCGTGGCGTGGTCGTCGGGGCGCCGTGTCAGCCCGGCGCTCGGGATCGCCTGGGCTAACTGCGTCAACACGCGCCTGTTCCTGACGCGGGAGGTGGACGGGGATGGCGCCAGCGGGGGCGCAAGGAGGCGGATGAAAGTGGCGTTCGCGCCGCACCTGCCGGACCGGTCGTGCGAGTTTGTGATACGGAGGGACGGCGTCTTTGGCGTCGAGCCGGCGGAGAGGTAGGCGCTCCTCTTCTTGTACGTCTCTGGTCATGACTCGTTACAGAAGAAGTGCGTGACCGTAACATGTTTGATGAAATGTCCACGTTGGTAGTTGGATTTCACACATCCTTTTTACTTCAATTGTTAAGAATGGATGTGAAGCCATGTATGTAAATTAGACGTGTCACAACACAATGTACAAGTGATCGAACCTTTCTGGGGACAGAGGTTTTGTAACAATCGTCATGGCTATTTTCAAAGTCTGAAATCAAAAACTAAGTTTTCTTCTTGGATGCTCCTAAACTGAAGTTTTGGCAGCTTGTAAATTTATGTACTAATGGGATTAATGCTTTTCAATGAAAAAATAGTGAAATTTTAGTAATGATCCATTTGCCATGCCAATATGGAGTTATGGACCCTACTGTTGATTTGTAGCTGATACAGTACAGTGTGCAATCAAGTCAATCATCAACCTTAAACTTCAATTGCAGACTGGCCTGGTCCTTATGAATTATGATGCTACTGAAAGTAATATGCTATCTGAACATGTGGACTAGCTTTCAGCTGAACTTTCTCTGGCTTGCATTTACTAAAACATCGTATATGGAGCAATGATGTGCATACTTGAATTAATGTATCTGGGAGGTAAAGGGCTCAGGAAAATATTCAATATGAGATCATTTGAAGGTCAAAGAATAAACCAAATTTAAGAATTTACGGTGGTCTTTTGAAATTAGCACCAGGGTTGATTATTGAATTAAACTGGTAAAGTGAAGCACACCCAAAATAGTAATAATCCTACACAAAGAGATCTTTTCTACTGCAATTACAGAATTTATTAGACCCACGATCAATGATAGTTTTTATTAGTATAGTAAACGAAAGACATCCACAAGTGCATTTATATGATCAATGCTTCTGACGTCATCCTGTGACTGAAACATGCTTTGGTATTAGTATTAGCTATTTATCACACTTGAAGCAGTGCTGTCTCACACTATCACTGAAGGTATCCTATGCCAGGTAACAGGAGTAACATGTCTTACTTCAAAGCTCCATTACTAAAGCTTCCACCAGAATATGCAGCGTTTCACCTGTTTTTCTTCCATAATCAGATTGGTTGAAGCTTCTCTCTATAACCAATACATTGACTCGGACAAGTGAGCTGTCTTGATTGAACAGTTCTGGTGGCATTTCAATGGATCACCACCTTCTGTGCCCTTAACTTCATCATAGCTCCCCTTTAGTGCCACTACGTAGTACGTACAGCAAGATTTATAACCAAATGCCCATTCCTAGCTTGTCTAGGTATTCAGGTCTTGGGTTGTAGAAATAAAACTCGACCAACCTAGGAGGAACTAGGTGGCATTGTACATAAGAAGAAATAGGCATCTAAATTCTTGTCAAAGAGGACATGAACCTAGGTTGTAGAACTAGACATGTACGAAGCACTGCTATGATGGGTGGTTTAAGAGCACTATATGTTGGGCTGGACTGTGGCCCGTGCAGAATAGGAAGATCCCTGCGGTAATAGTTGTTAACTTGCTTGGTGCATCCTTTCTTTTCCTTTATTTATTCAGCAACTGGTTCTATATTTTGGTACTTCGGTTGAATAAAAATATGATTCATCAATTATGAACTTGAGCTCTATTTAGTATATAGCATGACTGTTTTAGCCATTGCTAGGTGGGCTAATTAGGCTTGGGTTCTTGTGTAGACTATATGTCTATTGGATAGCCAAGCAATATTTTATGGAAGTTCTCTTATTTGATCGAAATTAACAGTCAAGAAATGGATAGAGCCAAGCAACCAATTTACAGAAGTAGATGGTCTACCATCACCGTTGCATTATTAAGCTATACAAGCTTCCAGGTCAAACCTGCTTTGGTTAGGTTGATCATGACAATATAACTAGTGAATGAGACCATGCAACTTGTATTCTTCCAAAGCCGTCTTATAGGGCAGCATCCATCTTAATGCTTGGGAAGACTTTCAGTAAATGCCAAGTTAGCATTGTGTACAACTTTGGCTGATCTCCTCCATATATGGCAAGCAAAGTACCATGCAGAAGTAGAGCACATCAAGCAACAGTTCAGAGGTGTGAGCATAAACAAAGTGTCTACAAAGTTACCAGAGTAGAAAGGCACAAAATAACCAACACAAACAATCATCTTGTCATGGGCTGATCCCTGGCCCTAAGTGCTGGGACAAGCGAGGACCAAAGTAGGGCCCTGGCCAGCCAAAGCCTGGGCCAAGGAGAGTCCAAATCTATAAGGATTCTACCTATAGATTGCTTGGAGGTCAAGTCCCTTAAGGACTATAAATATAGGGGTCATGTACTCATTATAATCAAGAAGGAAATAGAGGTTTATCCTCTTATTCTCCCAGCTCTCCAGCCGCCGCCCTCTCCCTGGCCGCACGCCCCTGCCTCCTCTACGCCGTCACCGCCACTGTCCTGGGGCAGGCCGGCGCCATAGCCGCCCCCTCCACCATCCAAACACCCCCAAACCAATCTACGCCCATCACACATCTCATACATCGCAAATATATGCAAACATGTCAAGGTAAGTGCGCTGCTAGCTAGTGCTTCTTCTTATATATCTCCTTAGAAGCCTGGAGGGAACAATCACTTTCTGATCATTGTTCATATCATTTCTAGGTGCACCTGAACCCAGATGGATACTGATAAGCTTAATTTAAACTTGTCGCTCCATCAGTCATAATCCTCCAAGTATTCCAACAATATTTTCTTGCAGCTACTGTCCTAAGAAGTTCCAGAATGCTCAGGCTTTAGGTGGCCACCAAAATCCGCATAAGCTCCAGTGTAATCTTGGGAAGAGGAATCAAGAGGTTGCTCTAGCAAAAAGCCAACGGAAAGATGAAAATTCAGGGGTGAAAGTGGGAATCTTCACTCTGCTGAATTTGGCAATAGTGGTGTTCCACGAGGAAAGAAGCATGGTGAAGAGGTTTGACGAGTACTGCAGAGGGCAAGTGCTTCAACAGTAGTATCTGGTACTATGATCCAAAAAGTTTTTCAACAGGAGGTTGGCAGTGAAGATCTACAAAATGAGATAATGGACTTGTCCTTTAAGTTATAATATGTAGTCCCCTTTCATATTTGCATGCTGTTTCCTTCTTGTTGTGGTTTGAATTTCCGCAGGTTACATATTTATATAGCATTGCCTGCAGTGGTTTAATAACTTTCTTGGATCCATGAACATTGAAGTGAGATCACCATGTTTGCTAACCTGCTGCATTAAAGCAGTCCAGAAGTCATCCAAGGTCCAATGTTGGGATACTCTTTCGTATAAAAGGACCCATTTGTCACAGGTGTGATGTAATCCGTAATTAATTGGCCGAAATAAATCATACCCTTTTACCATCAGTGATCAGTTTATGGAATATTTTGTGTTCTCATAATGGTTTTAAGGATCAGTAAAGATCACGTTTATGGGAAAATTCTTAGCTTCAATACTTAGCAGATGATGGGTCCCCACGCCACGTGCAGGAACACGGCCTCGCTGCCGACGGAGCGGTAGAACCAGCTCCCGCGGTTTGCGCGGCGGCGCCCCTTGGTCTTGTCGGCGCAGCGGCGTGGGGACGCATCATCTTTGCCCATGCCCATGCGCAGGTCGAAGGAGAGGCCGGCGAGGTCGAAGGCCTCCGGCAGGCCCGCGCAGCACGGGTGGACGTCGTGGTCGAGGCTGGGGAGGGGGTAGAGGAACCCGCGACGAATTTTTTATTTTTTAGCCTTTTTTAAGTTTTTCACAAATAGGTCCTTGGAGGAAAGAATTTAGAAACTGGACCCTTACCTCGGCGCCATCGATGCTCGCGCCGAGCTAACACGTCTCGGCGCCAGCGTCCCAGGCGCCGAGCTCCTGGGCTTGAAGCGGACGTGCAAAGTGACATGGCAGGAAGCTCAGCGCCAGTCACCCTGGCGCCGAGCACGGCGCCGAAGATCTTGGCACTGAGTTCGGCGCCAGGGTGACTGGCGCCGAGCCTTTATTACGTATGGGTCCGCCTGGCTCGGCGCCAGGGTGACTGGCCGCCCACGCACGCGCCTCCACCGACCGCCCTTGCCCACACGCGCCTCGTCGAGCCGCGCCGCGACGGACGCCACGCCAAGGCCGCCGCCGCGCGCGCCGAGACCGCCGATCGCCACGCGGCCGCCCCCGCGCCAGCGCCACCACCACGGACGCCCGCGCGCCGAGCCGTCGTGCAGGAGAGCGCGCGCTCGCGCAGCCGCGCCGCCGCGTCGCGCCGCCGCCGCCGCGCCGCGCCCAACGCCCCTGCGCCCGCGCCCCGGTCCCCTCACCGGTTCCTGCGCCCGCGCCGCGCCCTCTCCTCGCCTTGGCCTCACCCCGCCTTACCGCCCTCCATCGCCGACCTCGGCCGCGGCTGCCGTGCCTCCCGCGCCCGTCGAGCAGGACTTGCCGCGTGGAGCGCCGGGCATCCCGCGCCCGCCGCGCGCCACCGCCGTCCCCGGCACCTGCAGTGGCCGGCCGTGCCACCGCCGGCCTGACCCACACCCGTCGTCCGCTGCGACTCCGTCGATATCCGCGGATCAGTCATTGGAAAGGTAAAAATTATGAATATGCAATGGACCTACGTAGTTGGCATTTGTTATTTACTAGTTAATGTGACGACTCAGGTAGTTGATTTAGTTAGTGATCTAGTGAGATATATATGTAGATAGATAGAAACATAGATACATAGGTACATAGATATAGTTAGATAGGTACTTAGATATGTAGTTATATATTTAGTAAACTAAATATGATCTAGCTATTTAGTGAGTACACTGTATATATATACGTAGTTATTATCTTATTTACTTAGTTTGTAGTTAGAAAGTACTTGTTAGGTACTATCTATCGTCTAATTTGGACTAAAGGACATGTGTTTCGTTACGTGTTTGAACTAGATGGACAACCTAGTGACCATATATCATGGACGCACCGTTGAAAGCGATCGCTATGGATATGTTGAGTTTGTTGACATGCAAAACGTGCATGTGCTATTCAATGATAGGCCTTCATTTAGTGAGATGATTGCAAGGGCTCGGGAGGAGCTGCATTGCCTTGGAGATGATGGCATTGCAGTTGATGATGTACTGCACCTAGGTTCTCCTCCCAACATCTTCAGGCAAATGATCTCAATTGGTTGTGCGGATCAGTGGGAGAACTATGTGAGATCGGCTATGAAGAGCCAGCTGCAATGTTTGGATGTGGTTGTGCGTTGGGTGTTACTTGATCCCATCCCTCATGGGTTTTCCTCACCAATGGATCAGCAGGCACACATCGACCCTCCCGTTCTAGAACCTTATATGGATGTGAAGATTGCACCTACGGTTCCCGATGCTCAATCTGCCCCCAATGCGGTAGTTGGAGATGCTTGTCAGACTCATATTTTCGTGGCAGATCCTCCTCATGAGATCCCTTTAACACAGAATCATCCGAGTAAGTGTCTTAACCGCATGGTTTTTGGGAGCTTACCCCTTCCTTACATCTATTTCTTTCATTCTTTCCTCATTTCTCTACTTATGTTGCAGGAGACATTCCTGAGAATGTGGATGTGCCCCCTGTTGCTGCGCAAGTGCACTTTAGAGATGGATTCCGTGGCTCCAATAGTGTTAAAATTATGCATGATTCGGAGCCATATGAGATGGCAAGGGCTCTTGATTCTGATGATTATCACCTGTTGGAGAGCTGACAGAGAGTGATGTTGAGATGCTGAGGCGTATCTTTCCCGGCCGCCGTGATCCAAGAGTTTACGAGTTCAGCGATCTTGCTCGTTCCGATCAGGTGTGTGCAGAAGGACGTGATGATGAGCTCCTAGAAGCTCCTGAGGCCGACCCTAACATGCATTATGAGTACATCCCAAAACCAAATGCATGGAAGGATGGGAGACAGATATTCTTCCGTGCTTTCTAGTGCTTCCCTTAGTGTGTCGAGGCCTTTAGGCACTGTCGTCCTGTCTTCTCCATTGATGGTACGTTCTTGATTGGCAAATACCAGGGCAAACTTTTTATAGCCATATCCTATGACACGAACAACAAGTTGGTTCCTTTGGCATTTGCTTTGGTTGAGAAGGAGAACAATGACAGTTGGAAATGGTTCTTGAGGCTAGTTCGGATACACGTGGTTGGGTCTGGCAGGGAGGTTGGCATCATATCTGATAGGCACCAGGGCATACTTAATGTTGTGCGAGAGCAGATGGAGGGGTATGCACCTTTGTACCATCGTTGGTGTACTCGGCACCTTACCGAGAATCTACTCCGGAAGGATGGTGTGAAGGATAACTTTGATCTGTTCCAGGAGGCTGCTCGACAGCTTGAGGACAAGTACTTTCAGAAAAAGTTGGAGCAGGTCAGAACCGCATCAAATGCAGAAGGTAGACAATGGCTCACTGGTTTGATGAGGGATTTGGAGAAATGGACGAGAGCTCACGACGCCGGTGGATGGAGGTACGAGTTTCAGTGCAGCAACATGGCAGAGTCATTCAATAAGTTGCTATTAGGGATACGTGGTATGCCCATGAATGCAATCGTTCAATTCACTTTCTATAAGCTTGTTGCCTAGTTCAACGATAGACACGCCCATGTATTGCAGTTGCGGAGTGATGGAGAGATATGAGCTCCGAAACCAAAGGCACACCTAGAGAAGGCAAAAGAAAGGGCTGGCACATATGAGGTTACATGCTTTGACCACGCCACAGGGACTTATCAGGTCGAGCATAGGGGTGGTATAATGTCCGACGGCGAGGTCCGAGAGTCGAGGATGCATGTGGTTGTCCTCCAAGATTGGTGTCGATTACAAGGACGACTGTAACAGAACCGCCCAATTTATACAAGATCAAGTACAGCTGTCCCCGCTAACACGTTGACACGCGCATACTTTCACTTATATAAACCCGGTAGTTCGCCGAGTGTCCCGAAAGACCTCGGTAAATCAACATCACAACCAAGATCGCGTGATTAAGCAAATACACATCACATACACAGGGTTGCAGCGGAAATAATATTACAAGTTTGGGTTTCAAAAACCAATTAGTGAAAACAACATAGCTTTCAAAAGATTACATTAATATATGTTCCAAATACATTGCTAGCATAAGTGACATCATCCGACAAAAGCATATAGATGAGAAGTAACTATAGAATCACCGAGCCACCAGTGGTTAGCCACCATCTTCACAGGCCGAGAACTTCACCTGCAACATGGTGGGATAAACCCTGAGTACAAGAAGGTACTCAGCTAGACTTACCCGTCAAAACCAGAAATAAAGGACACCATGGGTCATGCAAGGCTTATGAGGTGGGCTAGCTTAGCTTGACACAGTTGCATAAAAGAGCTTATGAATATAGTGACCAATTTAAACTTAGCATCAAGTTTATCATCATTTACCTGTCCACTAGATTAGCACCTGTACTAGAGCACTCACTTATTAGGAGCAAACAATATTAAACATAGCAGGTATAATAAGGCTGTCATCATCATATCATCATTTATGAACCATTATGTTATTTAGTGTATCTACTTTGGAGATAAGCCCGTCAAGTTCTCACTAACCGGGAGAGACGGCGACTCGAATCGAATTACAACTCAGTTGAGGGGGTATTCCTAACTCTCACCCTGGCATACTTTGCAAGGGTAGCCGTGGGTCACCTTTGGGACAACTCAGGAACCAAATTCGTGGGTTCGATCAGCGCCAGTACTCTCAGGGATTACCCTTCTGCCAGGACGATCAGGACTTTTAAATCACCTGCCCTTGGACTCACGCCTACGGCTCCCTTCCGAGGCGCACTTTATACTTATCGACTCCTGGCCTAAGGTGAGCTACTCGGCTTCGTGGTCGGTCTCCAGACCCGGCCAGCTAAGAGAGAGGCATGCGTTCAACATGAACAGGAAAGGCTCCAAGATTCAGTCCTTAAGCGACACAGACGGAGTCACTGCAAACTGGCAAGCCTCCGCCCGGTCTTCATTTCAAATTAAGACATGTTCTTT